CCATTTTGCTTTGTGACGTCACCATGACCACCAAATCAATATGGAAGTACTGTTTCTAGAGTATACACAGGGTTGGTTCTGTCACAGTGTGTTCACCAGCTCATCTGTACCTGACTTCATTTTATGTTTAAACACCTGTATGTAATGGCTGCTGTTGATTCATTAACTTGGAAGTCATGTCAAATGCCTGTAACGCATGCCTGGTGTGAGCATCTTCGATGTGTGTATTTTTCTCCCACGCTCGTTCATTACAGTCACCTGTAGCTAGTGGCACCACAGACAACCCCTTGGGGGTTTCTTGTTTCACCCTTTATGCTTTGGAGGAAAAGTCTTGCTGTATAGACGAGGTTGGCCCTCAACTAGTGGTTCTTGTATCTTTGCCTCCTAAGTACTGGGATTACAGACATGTGCCACCATGCCTGATATTAGGGACCTTTTTTGTTTGTTTGTTTGTTTGTTTGTTTTTCGAGACAGGGTTTCTCTGTGTAGCTTTTGCGCCTTTCCTGTAACTCACTTGGTAGCCCAGGCTGGCCTCGAACTCACAGAGATCCGCCTGGCTCTGTCTCCCGAGTGCTGGGATTAAAGGTGTGTGCCACCACCGCCCGGCCAATTAGGGAACTTTTTAATCAAGCAAAATCGCCAACAAACAACATAATGAGAAAACTGCGACAAACTATTCTGACAAAGACCTACTTTTACCATGTCAGAACTGCAAGAAGAAGGCAGGATGTGTTTTCCACCTTTGACAGGAAGGGAGAGCATGGATGACTCAAGTTCTTGCTGCTCCGAGTGGCTATGAGAGTGCTTCAAATATTAATTGTAGGCTTACAGGTCCATTTCAGTAAGTAGCTAAATCAACCAGTACAAAATCTACAAATAATGAGGATTGGATGGATATTGTTTCTGTTTGATTTCCACATACTTCTTTTAGCCTCCATCAAGCTCAAACTTGGGGGAATCTGCCCATTGGAGTGATTTTTCACCCTCTTCTTCAATAAGATTTTCCAAGCTCATTTTGTATTTTTATCTTCCAACTCTGAAGTCAGACATTTCTCTGTTCCTTTCAGTAGAAAATGACTTCTAGAAACTAAGAACTGGGTATATGAATCTTAAAAGGTCTTATTAATAAAAACAAAACCAGTGCCAGGTATTGGGGTGAATGCTGAAAGATCAGAGAAGCAGAACAAGCTACAGCCACCTCACCTCGCCAATTCCTCAGCTGATTCTGTTTCTTCAGACTGGAAGCCTCTGTGTCCTCATCAGAATGGATCTCTGCTGAATTGTGCTGCTCAAAAGCCTGAAAGCTTAACCAGGCCTAGTTCTTGGTTTTCACGCCTTATATATCTTTCTGCTTTCTGCCATCACTCCCTAGGATTAAAGGCATGTGTCACCATGCCTGGCTGTTTCCAGTGTGGCTTTGAACTCACAGAGATCTGGATGGATCTCTGCCTCCAGGATGCTAGGACTAAAGGCATGTGTGCCACCATTTTCTGGCCTCTATGTCTATCTAGTGGCTGTTCTGTTCTCTGACCCCAGACAAATTTATTAGGGTGCACAATATATTGAGGAACACAATACCACCACAGAACTGCATGCTGGGTAGGCTCATTCTTACTGGGGGTATCATTATGTCAAAGTCCTGTTTCCGACAGTGCTAGGAAATAACATGTACACACCCAGACACATGCATACACTTGCTGTGGGATGTTCTGTATGTCAAATTGCTCTGATTGGTCAGTAAATAAAACACTGATTGGCCAGTGGCCAGGCAGGAAGTATAGGTGGGCCTAACAGAGAGGAGAATTGAGAAAACAGGAAGGTGGAGGGAGACACAGCCAGCCACCACCATGACAAGCAGCATGTGAAGATGCCGGTAAGCCACAAGCCACATGGCAAGGTATAGATTTATAGAAATGGATTAATTTAAGATATAAGAACAGTTAGCAAGAAGCCTGAGCCACTAGGCCAAACAGTTTAAATAACATATGCGTCTGTGTGTTTATTTTATAAGTGGGCTGTCGGACTGCTGGGGCTTGGCGGGACCTGGAGAGAAAATTCTCAAGCTACATACACTTGTATACATCTATCTGCTACCTGCCAGCCAACCTATCATATCTTTATATATCTGTTATATATCACCTGCCAGTCAATTTGTTCTAGTGTATCTATCTGTCATCCATCTATAACATCTATAGCTACCTATCTGTCTGTCTGTCTATTTATCTATCTATCTATCATCATCATCATCCAGTGTATCTCTCATTTTTCAATGTCTCTGTTCATCTAATTGGTTCATATGAGTACCTTCAGTTCTAATCTAGTACCTATCTGGTCCTTCTTTCCACACTTCTGACTCCTTTTCTGGCAGTTAGTGATCTGATTTCCATCATTCTTCAGTGTAATTATTAGCTAAGTCCCTGTATATAAAAAACACACAGTGGCACCAGCCCAAAATTTAGCTCTAAATTCTTTGGCTCCTTTGGGGCATTTGGGCAGAAAACTAAGTCCCAGTCAGCAGATATGGAGGGTGAAAGATTTATTGGAAGTCTGAACTTTGTTGATTCTTCTTAAATGACAACCAACTTTGGTTTTATTTACTTATCTATTTATTCAATAATTTTTTAATGAGATAAGAGAACATTCATATACTTTTTTCTTAGCCTTGATGCTAAAAGACCATTTTACCAAACCAAATGTCTCTAAAAGAAAAACGGATGTAGGGGCTGGAGAGAGGGCTCAGTGGGTCTCGAGCATCTACAGCTCTTGCAGAGGACCAAGCATAAGGTTCCCAGCATATGTGCTAACAAGTGCCTGTAACTTCAGCTCCAAGGGATCCTGATACCTCTGGTCTCCAAGGGCATGTGTACCCATATGTCTATACCTACTCATAGATATGCACACATATACATAATTAAAAATATATTATAAAAAGAAAAACCAATTTGAGATGTTGACTATGACTTCAAATTTTCATATGATACAAATAGTATCATCTTGTGTTTTAAACTTTTCCTCTTTTCCCAGATGTTTTAGATTCAATACTTTGCCTTTTAATATGCCAGCTAAACTTAATTAGAATCTTTGAATGTTGAGAGTCTCAACTTACCTACTTTGAAGTTTTGATATGACATTTTAATTTAACATTCACAGGAAAAAATTATGAAATGGTTTGGTTGTTTTTCTCTGGTGTGTTTATCCACATTAAAGGTCAAGTCTGCATATTAGCTTTCCCCTTAAAGTCTTAAAGCTCACAAGGTTAGATAAGACCTAGAACATTACATTTAATTACATTTTGAAGTGATATGAACAAATACTCTCTATTTCCTAAGTTTTAGATTCTGGTAAGTGGGAGGCTATGAATCATAGTGTCAATAAAGTTGGCTAATCATAACAAAATGACTTTACTATGTTGTAACATAAGACATAGATGTTTTCCAAGATGAACTTTTCCACAGAGTCACAACAATTATGCAAATGTGCATCCATCCATTCTATAAAAATGAAAATACAGAAGTTGATAGGATACAGAATTTCCATTTATTCCCCTCTCAACCTTTGACATAGTTGCACAACTTAAGCCCTTAAGAATTTGGTATTAGTGTATTAAGAAGTCATCATTTCATCTCCTATGAATGCATTCTTTTGGCTTGTTTTATTTTTACTCAAATATTACTGTATGTACACATTTATGTATGTTTCTATAGCTTGCTTTACTTGTCAATATAACACTTTTTATAATTCTTTTGTGTTAGCACATAGAGCTGTTTCATTTTTAACGAACATCTCATATTCAATTATATGGCTGTATCATAATTTGTTTAAGCATTGCCCATTGATGGCCATTTAGCCATCGCACATTTTATATTATAAATGATGCTGTATCTGTAGCACATTCTGTTAAGTAAATAGCTAGACCTAAGGATGAGATCTTTCTCCCTGAGATGCTGCCCAGTGGGTACTGAGCCTCATCTCTGGGATAGCATCATCATCTTAGGATATCATGGCTTTTGTTCTTCAATCTAAAGTCCCTGGAAGTGCCTGACCCAATGTTCTCATTCCTTTACCTAGGATTATTTCTTGTTTCATAAACAAGGCTGAAAGATCAGATGTACAACATTGCCCACCTGCTTTGGGCATCTGCAGTGTGGGACCAAAGACAGGCCAACTCTGAAATGCATCTTGGACTTAAGAGATGGCTCAGCTTTAGGAGTACCTGCTGTTTTCCTTAGGACCCAAGTTCAGTTCCCAGCTCTCATTTTGGGTGACTCACAATCACCAGGAACTCTAGCTGCAGGGGATCTATTACCCTTTTCTAGCTTCCTATGGCACCCTCATATCTTTTTGCATACACGAACTCTCTTACACACACACACACACACACACACACAGAGAGAGAGAGAGAGTAAATAATAAATTGAATTTTAAAAAAGAGAAGTACATCTTTTCAGGATAGTCTTAGCTGGGTGAACTGGAAATTATGATGCAGGATTAGACCACAGGTCATTTTCATATTAAAGAATCTTTAGGATTTTAACAGAAAATGTATTTTAATTAATGAAAAATGCAAATAATTTCATTGGCTGGATGCTTTTTATGAAGACATTAGTGTCTGGGTATGATTTTAGATGCTATTTCCTTCATTATCCTGGTTGAAAATTAAGAAACTGGAAGAACAGGGGTGGTTTCAAGTGTCTTCAGAAGTGGGGCTGTGCTGGCGCACGCCTTTAATCCCAGCACTCGGGAGGCAGAGGCAGGCGGATTTCTGAGTTCAAGCCCAGCCTGGTCTTCAGAGTGAGTTCCAGGACAGCCAGGGCTACACACAGAGAAACCTTGTCTCAAAAAAGACAACACAGAAAACAAAGGGAAAAAGAAGCATCATCAGAGCTTTTCATCTGTTGCCCAAGGACTATTTTCAGTTCATAAGAAAAAAAAAGTTCAGTTTTCTTTTGTTTTCCATCCATTGTTTATAACATGCATGTATCATTTCTGTCATTTTGTAGACCTACCAAGAGCAGCTGTCAGGATCTTAAGCAACATGACATTCCTTTTTGTGAGTCTGTCGTACACAGCTGAGAGTGCCATTGTCACCGCTTTCATTACCTTCATCCCCAAGTTCATCGAGTCACAGTTTGGTATCCCAGCTTCCAATGCCAGCATCTACACTGGTAAGGCACTGCCACAGGGCGAAACTCGGTCGCCGTGCCCACAGACTGCGGTGGAGTGAGTGGGGAGGAAGGCCAGGCTCACCCCGAGGGCTCACCAAGTGTGCTGCCAGCTCCAGCTGCCCCCGAGCTGGCCAGGAAGGCCAGGGATGTGCTTTCTGAGATTCCGATTCTATTCGTGTGATATTTTCAAAACTGTGTTTTGAAAAAAGTAGAATATTGTGTAGTGATGCTTTTTTGTGGACTCCAGTCGAAAAAAACAAAATAAGCAACGAGATTCACATTTAGATTAATGTTGATTTTGTGGATTAACATGGACCTTAAAATGTTAAGTGAAGTTGATGATGTAAAATCCAGCTTAGTTCCATGGTATCAGGATTTTCTATTCATAAACCTGAGTAGATTTCAATAGAATTACTGGAGATGCATGACATGTAAAGGGATGTTTCATGTACTTTATTTTAGATGTTTTATGTCTAATCGAGCCAACTTTTGAAAAGTCTTTGATATGTGTTCTTGTAGGACTTGGCACTCAAACCTTATTTGGTAATGTGGGAAAACTAATTCTCAGCTATTAGGGGAATTACAGTGTTATGTAATATTCTAAATACTTCCTTAGTGATATTCATCGATTGACCAATGACTCTATCTGCAGAAAGATTAATGTTTCAGCAAAGGACAATTAAATATTTTTGAATAACAGTAGATTTTCACATAGCTTGGTTTCCTACCATATCCCGTTTCTACATTTAAACCCAGTAAGCTTAAACTACCTAAAAATGAACAGAAAAAAAAAATCACTGTAAAAGAGAAGCTGATTTGAAATATTTGTTTGCTTGTCTGGTAAACACTCTGCTTCACCTTGTATATAGAAAGGCATAAAAACTGGTTGTGTCCACGGTTGTAAATTGTTTGATACATAATATACGGCTGTGGACTGCTGTAATTTGTGAGTTAAAGTGTGTTTTGCTCTCTCTTGCTTTCAAAACTGCTTTTCTGGGTCGATGTGACATCCAGAGATCATGTTTCAGCTTGGCTAACAGGAAAAGGAGCCCTTCATTCTTAGTTTAACTCTTACATCGACCTTTGCTGATGGGCAGGGAACCCAGAGCACTTGGGACAAGATTCAAAGTGAAGAGACTTTCCCATTCCCTAAGCTAAGTTTCAGTATGGAAAAGTGTGATTAGGAAGAAGGTTCTAGAAAATCTGGGGCTTGCTGTGTCAAAGGAAGTGCTACAGGGTTCTCCCTGCACCCCCCCTTTTTCAACCACCTCCCCTATCTCAGCACGTACTGTAAGACTCCCCCCGCCCCCAGAGGGTCATACAGACCATGTTTTTCTCCAGGCTTATTTGACTGTGAAACTCAACCTTTTATTTACTCATCATGATAGGGTATCATTGTTATTTGTTTGTGTGTATATGTGTATGTGTGAGACATTGTCTCAGTATTTACTTCATTTATTCTGAAACTGATCTCACTGTGCAGCTTAGGATAGCCCGGAACTCATGATCCCACTGCCTCAGCCTCTGTGTGTGGAGATTATCTATGTGAGCCGTCACGTTTCACAGAAATCTGTCTTTCCAATGAACAGTTTCCCTGTGGTAAAATGCAGCAATTCAATCATGTGTGTCCCTATTCCAGCCACACTAGAAAGTCCAGAGCTGTCTAGGTCATCCCAAGGCCCTCCACATGTACAGTTTTCACTCCAGGGCTCCAGGGCAGATTGCAGGTGAAGTGAATTAGATGTGGACTGATGAGGCCATCTCTTTAGTCCGGGTAGAGAAGAGGCTAGCTAGACTATTCTCTGAGGAAAACTGGAGGAGGTTCAGTAGGATCTGGAGGGCTGGGTGTACAGCGCCCCAGCTGCAGAGCAGATACACCTGTCTAAACGAGGCTAGCTCACAGAGGCTGTCTCTCCCTAAGCCCACGCTGTCCCTCCAGGATGAGAGGAGGCACGTGACTGAGTACAATTCCTTCTGGTTGCGGCATCCATCAGGCTCCATCCTCTGTCACCAGCGTCTATTTCAAAACCACGGTCATTCTTCTCAGTTCTCAGTGTCATGGCCTCCCGTGTTTTCCAATGGCTCGGGAACTCTCTCTTGACTATTATCATTTGATTCATAGACAAGAAGTAAATTCAACAACAGCTCAGGTTGGACAAGAGCAGAGGGTGCCTCATGAAGTTACAGTGAGATTAAATGCATAATAATTTCTTTAAAACTCTTCTTGGGCTTTTGCCTTGTCATAAATCAGTTCCTTCTTACCCTCTGAACACAGATTTTAATTTTTTAAAAAGACTTTGAGATTTTTTTTTTGACCTGAAGCCCTTCCTATACGTGCAGATTGAAGTGGAATAAAAAGATTTTACAATAGCGTTAATTTCTTCACTGACAACGTTTTTTGAATTTAAGTTATCTTTTCATTTTTTTTTTTTATTGATTGGGCATCATGCATGCTGGAATGTCCTCCACCACTGAGCTATACCCTGGATTTAGCATTTATTTTTGAAAAATTATTTGGATAATTATCTCAGCCCAAGCAATTTCGTGTGTTGTTAGTGGGTCAAAAGAAGCTGGTCTGGGAACACTGGCTTGTTTATGTTGTCAGGCTACACCAGCACTGTCCAGCTGTGTGCCGCGGAGAGGGCGGGACTTATAAACACCCAAACCAGGGTTCCCAGGGCTAATGGATCGGACAGCAGAGACAAAGCTTATGAAATAAGTTAGGAAAGGCTGCTCAGGAATTGATTGTACAGAATGGCAGCTACAGTTAACAGTTACTACATACCTAATATTGCTCAAAGGAAATTTTATATGTCCTCATTACAAAAGAACACCGTGGGATGATGGATATGCTATTTTATTTAATAATTATACAATATATACTTATAGGGGTACATCATATTGTACCCCATACATAATTTTTGTCAATTAAAATTAAATAATTAAAAATAGACACCCTCCCAGGCTGCTTTGATAATAGAAATAGAAATAGAAAATTTTGGCTCCAGAGGTTATTTTGGCTAGTAAGGTAATGGGGTTTGAGTTATTTTCATGGCAAAAATATCTTTTCTTTTTCTTTTTCTTTTCTTTTTCTGAGACAGGTTTTCTTTGTGTAGCTTTGGTGCCTTTCTTGGAACTCACTCTGTAGCCCAGGCTGGCCTTGAACTCACAGAGATCCGCCTGCCTCTGCCTCCCGAGTGCTGGGATTAAAAGTGTGCGCCACCACTGCCTGGTGGCAAAAATATCTTTAACCAAACTATCTATCTATCTGTTATCCATCCATCTATTTATCTACCTACCTACCTATCTACCGTTATCTGTCTATCTATCTATCTATCTATCTATCTATCTATCTATCTATCTATCTATCTATCTATCTATCTATCTTCATCATCATCATCATCATCTCTCTCTCAACAGTCAAAAGTGTCTATTTGGAGTCAGAGGAGCAGAGTGAGGCGGAATGATGGGGGGTGGGGAAAGGGATAAGATAAGGCTGGTTCTAGTGGGAAAAAATAAGGAAGAAAGAAAATCAGAGCAGTTCATGGGAAGATTAAACAGAGGAGCCAGGCAGGCAGATACGGGGTGATCTCTGGCACTGGGGCCTGGACGTTTTCCCAGGCAGCATCAGCACTACTGAACTTCACAGTAGTCACCCCGGAGGACTCCTGTGTCCTGGTGGAGATGATGACTTCAGTCGCTCATGAGGGCGTCAGCACAGCACTACACTCAGTCTGTACCAATCCTGTGTGGATATCCAGCCAGTCTGAGCCTCAGACCCACTTTCTATGTACTCAGTCTCCTTGCTAACCCAATTAGAGTACGTGGTTTGAATAAAATATTATGAAGTTGATGTTTTGGTGAGAAGCGTCATGAAGTATCAGTTGGACAGTGTGACCTTGAGCACTGTCGTTACTGGTCTCTGGCTGTGTGACCTTGGGCAGACCATTCACCTCCCATCAGATCAGAATGATCTCTTTTGTGTCAGGAGGATCAAGTGAAGTACTGATGCGCAGCTAGGTAACTTCAAACAGGTTCACAAACATCAGTGGAAACTTACAACTCCATCATAGTGTAGGAAAGCAAATGACCACTTGCTGACTGCCTCTTACAATTGCAGTTCTGTATGTAGATTGAAAAGGTCTGAGATGGAAAATAGGCAACAATGATTATGAAATCTCTGTTGACATTTATTGATTTTTCCCCTTGTAAAAGAACTTTAAATGATTTTTACAGTTAGCATCAAAAGTAATGGGTTCTGTGTGGCATTTTCATTTCATGTCATCACGCTTGGTCCTAATTTGCCGTTCTCCCCCACTACTGTCCCCAAGTGCTTCCCCGTCCTCCTGGGTCCTCCTTCTGCTGGTGGCTTTCCTCTTAATAGTCTCCTCGCTTCCTGGTCCTGCCCTGAGAGTTCTTCCTTCGCTCTTGAAAAGTTTCTGCACCCTGATAAGCCTCTCCGCTGACGCAGCAATCCAAATCAATCCAAATTAGAAAAAGCCCCGGTTTAACGGGTAAAGCGTTCCCAGGTGATTCTCCAGCCCCCTAGAGAGGACACAGGGATGAGAGACCAAAACACCATGTCTGTTTTCTGGGGTGCAGTTTAAATACCTTGTGGGAGTGGTCTTGAGCATCTTTGGGGGAGGAGCCATGCTTGGCCGGACTTTCTGAGGGGCAGGGTCTGGACAGAGGGGTGGGGCTTCCACCAGAACGTCTCTCATGTTCTCCCTTCTCGTCTCATGACTGAGACATGACACTATTGCTTACAAAGCATGAGACACTAAGCATTCTCATATGAATGGCATCGTTCAGTCCACGTAATTAAAGCCTATTCTGCAGGTATCGTTAATTATGCCCATTTTTCCAAAGGAGGAGACAACATCTGGGAGGCTTAACTAACACCCTTCAAGGCAAATAAATGCTGGAGTTGTGTTTCTTGGAGACTATAGTTACCATTCCATTGTCTTAACTGAAACAGCAGGAGAGGCGCATGTTATTGT